GGTCGGCCCCCTCCTGCTCCCCGCATCTCACTGCCTGTACCTGCCACCCCACAGGCCCTGCTGCTCCAAGTCTGATGATTTTTACACCTTTGGGTCCATCTTCCTGGAGAAGGGCTTCGAGCGAGAGGTGAGGGCCCTGGGCAGCCCCAGGAAGGGGCCCCGAGGCCTGGGCTGGGTGGGGCGCACGGGCCAGGGGGCAGCTGCTTGCCCGGATCTGTTCAGGGAGGTGGTGGGGAATTGCTCCAGCTGGCGGTTGTGGGGTGCAGAGGCTCAACATGCTGGCCTCACCCCTGTACCCAGTGTGCCCACATTTGTGACTCACCCACTTGGGTTTGGGAGACTGCTCGGCTGAGAGCCCCGTGCAGCCTCGAGCTGACCGTGTAGTCGGGAGAAGCCCCAGCTTAGTGTCCGCGTGGAGGCCCCCCAGTAGGCTTGGCTGCTGCAGCAACGTGCTTCGGTGCCGTTAGTGACCACTTACTTGTTTGTTGAGCGCCTACTGGGTTCTGGCACCCACATCGTATCATTTAACCCCCACACGGTGGCCAGTGTGGGCAGCATCATCCATCCCGCAGACTCTTTGAGGTTTCGGGGTGTCTTGGCCTCAGGGGAGGCCAAGACTGCAGGGCTCTCGTGCCGGCCCAGCCCCCTCTCTCCTGCCTTGGCCTCCAGGATTGGGGGCCGCCTCTAGCTGGGCTCCCTGAGTTGGCGGGTTCCTGGGTGGGGAGCTTGGGGCCCGGAGGCAGGTGTGGTCACCAGGAAACCTGCCTGGCGGGCCTCCCTGGGCTGTGACTTGGGCAGGCAGCAGGCTCTCTGAGCTCCGTTTGCTCATTTGTGGGCTGAGGCCCTGCGAGGGGTGCCGGGTGTGGAGGGACAGGCAGCATGGGGTCCCCCCTGACAGCTCAGGGCTCAGCCGAGCCTTGCTCCTCCGTTTGGGGTGAGGACAGACCCACCGCCCCAAATCAGTCGCAGCAGCCCCGGAGCTCAGATTTGGTTCCTGGCTGCAGACTTGGGCCCTGGGCTTTTCGGGGATGTTGGAAATAAAGTGGGAGACCTGGGCAGGGTGTGGGAGGGGCGGTGTCTCCTCTAAACCCAAAATGGGAAACGGGAAACAGCGTTATTGGCTCATCACCTGCAACTCAAGGAGGTGTAAAGCCTTTTTAAGGTGACTAACGAGCTGGCCAGAGGAGGGTCAGAGCAAGTGGCCCTGCAGGTGGGGCCTCAGCTGTCCCACCCTCACGGTCTCTGTCACCCGCCCCCAGTACCGCCTGATGCCCATCCCCCGGGCCCGCCACTACTTCGCCTGTGCCAGTCTCGTCTTTATCTGCATCCTGCTTGTCCACGTCCTGCTGATGCCCAGGTCAGTGGGGGTGGGCAGGATGGTCAAGCCCACTGGGGTCAGGTGGGGGGAGGGGTGGCCGGCAGGAGGGGCCGGCCTTTAAGAGTTCAGCAACATTAGGTCTCGGAGTCCCAGAAACTGGATCCGCCGTGACTTCCCCCACACCTGGAGTTACCGGCACTTAGTTTCTGTTTTGACTGAATGTGCTACTCCCTTGAGTTTGAGCCACAGGCCTCCCGACTCCCACATGCCTCTCACCTTTGAAGTCACCTGTTATCCGCAAGGCCGTGGGCATTTCAGTGTGGGACTCCTGCCTGCAGTGTTTGCCCCACCCTCTTCTCCCTCTCAGCTGTGGGAAACTGATGCTCAGAGGGTGGGATGCATGTTTCTGCCTCAAGACCCTCTGGTGGGGGCAGGGAGGGGGTGTGAGGTAACAGAGGGAGGAAGGTCAGCTGCTTGTTGGTTCTGGAGGGGTGGTTAGGCCGCAGTGCAGAGTGTTGGGATTTAGGATATAGTTACTAAAGACAAGATAGGGAACACATTTACATGCAACTTCTGAACCAGACCAAGTCCCCAGGCTGCATAGTCACTCCTTTCTTATGTGCTTGGTCCAGGAAGGGGGACATGAGCTTGGTCTCAGCCTTCGAGTTTGGCCAGGCCTGTGTGCTGTTCATGGGGCAGCTGGGCCACGGTTTTCTGAGGGCCCCTTTGCTGAGTGCAGAATAGCAGTTTGGGAGGGGGCAGAGGGTGACCGTGCACCTGAGAACTCGGGTACTGGGAGGGAGGAGCATGTCTGTGACTTAGCCCTGAGCAGATGGTAGCCAGAACTTGGGTTTGTCCCTCCTCTCCAGGACGGCGGCTCTGGGGGTATCCTTTGGGCTGGTGGCCTGTGTGCTGGGGCTGGTGCTGGGCCTGTGCTTTGCTGATGAGTTCTTGGTGAGTGAGGAGGACCCTATTAAGCACCCGTTTGGGCCCCACGGGTGCTGGGGCTGTGGAGGTGTGAGCCCCTGCCTCCTGGACCCTCCCTGGTGGGCTCTGCCCCTGGACCCTCCTGTCTCGAGGACAGTCCCTGAGTGTTCCTGATACTTCTGAGAATTCCGCTTTCCCTGGCCTGCTAGTGGTCCCAAGGGGCTGGAGCTGTCCACGGCCCCAAGGGTGGCCACGTTCCTTCTGTCTGTGCTCCGCATGTGTACTGAGCTCTGGGCATAGCACCCCCCGACTCTCCCTGGCCCATTTCCCAGGGGTTCTCATGTCTGCCAGACTCTCTGGCTGTGGGCTTCCCCCTGCCAAGGCCTCAGGCAGTTTCCCCTCCTGCCCGGGGCTGGAGCTGGGTGACCGGACCCCGTGGTTCCACAGAGGTGCTGCCCAGCCTGGGGGATGCTCCGGGCTATCTCCAAGAGGGTGGAGACTCACCCGCTGCTGCGCTTGTCCCTGGCCATCCTGACCGTTGGCAGCCTGCTCACCGTCGCCATCGCCAACCTGGTGGGTTCATGGGGGACAGGGGAGGAAGGTGGGCCCTGGTGAGGACCTTTGTGTCTGCCTCTTGGGTGGAGGGAGCCAGTTATGACCCTGGGAACCTATAGATTCTAGACTCATGTAATCTTGTTGCCTAAAAGCTACACATGGAGAAACCCTCTCCACAGCCCCGAGGCCGGGCCTGGGAGGTTCTGTGACCTTGAGAGCTCCTCAGCCTTCACTTTCTGTGTTTGGGGCCCCAGAGAGCACACGTGGCCAGCCCCACAGTAGGTGTCCTGAAGCACAGTGTCCTGACGCCTCCCCCACCCAGGAGGCCCTTCTCACCCCCTCGCAGACTCCTCCTGGGCACAAGCTGGGAAGACGCTGAGCCCCTGCCTCTCGGGCCGTGCGCACGCGCTCCGTGTCACAGACCTCACTTGTTCCTGCCAGTCCTCCCAGGTCCCACATCTAGCCAGGGTCTGTCCCCACCTCCATGCCCCTGACACTCTAGACTCTGACCACCTCCCTCAGCATCACCTGTGGAGAAGGCGGCTCATTGGAAGTGCTGATCCCGGCTTCTCCCCAGCCCATGCCAGCCTCACGCTCTGGGGTGGTGCCCATGTGTCGTCTTTTACACCCTTCGCCCCCCTGTGAAGCTGGTGGCTTCTGACAGTGGCTCTGGGCGGGCTTAGAGCTGGGCCTGGCGGGACACGCCTGTGATGCTTGGGAGGCCTTGGGCCCAGCGCTGCTTGGCCCTGGCAGGCTCTGGAGCCCCAGGCCCCTGAGCACCTGTCTTCTCTGTAGCTGTTGCTGCCTTCCCCAGTCCTGGGGCCACCTTCTGGGAACCAGACAAGCCTGAGGGCCGTGAGTGGCAGGGAGAGAACCCCATGCGAGCTCCTCCCGGTGAGTGTGCCGGCCCTGGCCTGGGCCCTGAGTCCCCCAGGCCCCGGTGTGTGGCAGAGCAGAGCCCAGCCTCTCCCAGGACAGGTGGAGAAAGCAGGCCCACGTGGGGCGGAGTTGGAGACCACAGGGATCGGGGTGTTGACGAGCTTGGCCCCAGGGGTGCAGGTGGGAGCACCCACGCTCATGCATGTGTCGGACCCCTCACTCTGCAGCAGGCCATTAGGATCTCCATGTCGCTGACCGGGAAGTGGGCTCGGGGAGGTTGCGATAGGTCGTGCAGCTGGGACAGGGCCCCAGGCAGGCTGACACGGGAAGCCCCAGGGCAGGATGCAGCCTGTGGGACTTCAGGGGACGGCATGTTGTGAGCTGTTCTCTAAAGGGCAGGCTGGTCAGGGAGGGGGCCGGGGAGGGATGGTGAGGAAGAGCAGAGGCACGTGGTGGGAGCAGGTTTCAGTGGCTGCGTCATGGGCAGGGGTGGTGGCCAGTGGCAGGTTTGATCTAGCTCAGGGTGGGGCGTGCATGCCAGGGAGGAGGGTTTGGTCTTTATTCCGGGGCAGGGGGAAGCCATGGCCTGATCTTCAGCAGGAGGGTTCTGTAGGCAGAGATGCACCCAGGGAAGCGCGAGCTCATGGCAGACTCAAGGCAGGCAGGCTGTTCGGGGGCGCGCACCCCCTGCCCGCCCCGCGTCTCCACCCAACAGCGTTTCTTTTACATTATTTTCCTCTAAGTGAGTTTACTTACCCTGAGTGGAAGTAGTTACAGTAAAAACGATGTAACAGAAAGTTAGGGATCCCGTTGCCTGCTCCTTAAGAAGGGAGGTGAAGAAGGCAAGAGGGGGATGCTGAGGACATGCTGCCTGTCCGCGAGTCCCTGAAGTGCTAAGGGCCTCCCTGCCTTTGGTGCCGGCTGGTCCAGGAGGTGCCTCTTGGGGACAGGAGACTGGGGGGTGACCAGCACCTCGTCTCCCCAGTATTACACCTGCAGCTGCATCCTGGCCTTCATCGCCTGCTCTGTCTTCCTGAGGATGAGCCTGGAGCTGAAAGTTGTGCTGCTGACCGTGGCCTTGGTGGCCTACCTGGTGCTCTTCAACATCTCCCAGTGCTCGCAGTGGGACTGCTGCGGCCTCGGCCTGGGCAACCTCACCAAGACCAACGCCACCCTCAGGTGGGCCCCGGATCCCACTGCCCTTTCTGACGGTGGCCCATTGTAGCTCCTTTGTTTCCATGTCATTCAGACGGAGCCCCGTCTGGTGGGACACCGGCCAGGGGGACCACGTGGTTTCCACTCCACAATGGGAAGCGAGGGGCTCCAGGTCTGTGCTCTTGGGAGCAGCCGAGTGTGACTCACCGGGGGGTTCTCTGGGGAGTGCCCCTCGTCTCTCCGAGGCCGCCTGGGCTGTCCCGTCTTTAGGCCAGTCTGGGCGTGGTGAGGAGGCTTCAGCCAGAGCCCTGCTCTGTTCCTAGACAGGCGGGTGACACCTGTCACCCAGGAAGGGCTGATGTGTGTGTGGTTCTGGAGGCTCCGGCCCCAGGTGGGTTGAGAAGAGGGGCCTGGCTCCCCCTGCACTAAAAGGCTGTAACGTGGGGACCCAAGACAAACCTGCCCCTGCTGGTCTGGCTCGTACCTGCCAACTGCCAGGCCCACGCCCTGAGCCCCTGGCCCATGAGCACCTGCTCCCTCGCTGCAGCCTCACTGCCTGGGGCTTTCTGTGTGGCTCTCCCTTGTTATCTAGGCGGGAGCTCAGATGCCACCTCAGTGGGGCCTCCCCCCCTCCACCAACCTTTCCCGACACCTCTTTTCTCTACCTGAAGTTCTCTTCTGTCTTGTTTACTGTCTACACCATGAGAACTGTGCGCTGAGGGCAGGCAGCCTGTCTCGGTGGCTCTTCCCTGGGCAGCCTTGAGTGAGTCTGGGCCCCACGCCACCCCCAGCGTTTGGGGGCTGGGTGGGAGCTGGAAACGACCCCCACCCTCCCCCTTCATATCCAGCAGCCCCCTGGCCTGTTCGTGGAGGGATCTGAAGACTATGATCAGCTTCTACCTGGTTCTGTTTTACGCCACCCTTGTCATGCTCTCCAGACAGGTGAGACCCGGAAGTGACCACCGCATCCCCAGGCCAGCTGGGCCGACCTGGCCTCCACTGGAGGGGACGGGTGGGGCTGGGCTGCCTCAGATTTGGGGCAGACAGTCCCGTGGGAAAGCCCTGGTCGGGGTCCCGAGACAGTGTCCCTAGTCCCAACAGAAGGTGACGCCACATAAGGGAGGCGTTTGCCGCGGGCGCAGGGTGGGCAGTGCCGATGGGCAGGGTTACAGGTGGGCCCCCGGCCGCTGGTGGCCATGCCCCTTGCTCACGGGGCCAGGACACTGCTGTGCCGCCTGTAGATTGACTATTACTGCCGCTTGGACTGCCTGTGGAAGAAGAAATTCAAGAAGGAACACGAGGAGTTTGAGACCATGGAGAGCGTGAATCGCCTGCTCCTGGAAAATGTGCTGCCGGCCCATGTGGCCGCCCATTTCATCGGGGACAAGCTAGACCAGGCAAGCAGGCCGGGTGTTCAGGGTGGAGAGCGGAGACCAGGCAAGCAGGCCGGCGTTCAGGGTGGAGAGCGGAGACCAGGCAAGCAGGC